GCCCCTTTTCGTCGGCGGCAGAAGAGGCGGTCTTCTGCCGCCGGGGGGCGGACCGGCTGGTCCCCCTCCTCCAGTGGCTGTGCGGTGCACGAGGGGAGACACCGCGACAACCCAGAGCCTTTGGAGCCCTGGGGACCACATTACCCAAGTACCAAAGTTGATGCCAAACTCTGCAAAAAAAAAACACAACTGAGAGAGTTTTTAGCTCCAAAGTTGCTGGAAACCTACAGCCACTGCAGTAGATCTCCAATTTGTACCTCATAGCACCACATCCAAGCAAGGAGTCAGGTCTTCAAACATCCAACTCACTGGAGAGAGTCTTTCCTCTCTGTTTGGCAACAAATCGCTGGAAAAAAGTATACAATCATCTCATGATCCAAAGTCTTTTTTGGAGGCTAAGTTTGCCGGGAAACTCTGTACACACTCTGCTTTGATGTACTGTCAGGTAGAACTGGATAGTTATGTAAGAAGTTATGTAGCGCCCTTGAAATCAATCTGATTGAGATGCACGTTGGAACGGATCTGCTTTCGGATCTTGCCATGATGAATGCATGCACGCCGACTTACAGTCCCTTGGAGACCCGAAAACGAGCCAAGATATGTGAATGGAACCAAAAGAAGGCATGTCATCCTATTGACTTGCTGTAAACTGAGGAAATGCCACCATCCACCAAAGTTTGAAGAAGAGATGCAACAAGCACTTGAGTCCCTTTTTATCTGATACTGTTTAGGCAGGCTGAAAAATAGATGAAAAAAACTCACCTGTCCTTCCCAGTCTTGGCGGAACCCTTGGGGACATCCTGTCAGGCGGGACGAAAGCAGAACGCAACCGTCAACCAACTGGCAATCCACAAGACCACCACATGGAACACATGGAACACACGTCTGTTCATGAGAATGTATCTAGTGATGAGCAGCTGAAATATTCTTTTGTTCCCATCCGTCATAGATCACAAAACACTGCCAGTTCCAGCGGAAACTGATGCTATCTTCTTTGCAACCATGTCCTGCAGTTTCTGTTCATCTGCATCGGACCATTGCTGAGCCATGGCGGCAGAAAATTCCACGCTACGAGGTGCTCCAGCAACACTTATACACTCACACTGAGCCACAAAGGGAGTCCAAAAAGTCCCAACAGTCAATCGTCAGACTAGAAGATCTCAAAAAGAAAATCGAATCGGAAAGTCGATTGTCACGCATCCGATTGCTTACAACCTATGACCTGGCGTGCTCAATCACATATAAATTACAGTGTTTAAGTTTAGATTCTGTCAACGTGTTTGTCTTATCATCGTACCTGTGTTTGCTGTTTTGTGCTTCGTCTTCGTGCTTTGTCTTGACAAAAATGCACAACAACATCATAAAATGCAATCACCGGAAACTGAAGTGCACTGAAGCAACACATCCGGAAACAAAATTGTTCACAAAATGTTCTTTGATAGATTCCTTAAGAGTCTCAAAAACAAATCCATGAACTGGAGTCAAACAAAATAGAATGTGTTAATACTTTGGGATTTTCAGCGAAGACATTTTTCTTTTTGGTTTGGAGTTTGGTGGTAGCTCCCTTCCTGTTTGAAGCCAGCTCTTGTTGCATTGATGATCCCTCTTGCTGTGTAGAAGGCAGCATTGCTGCATGTGACCTCGGACATGGGTGAATGTTCCTTGCATTGGCATTGTCCGAATGTCTTTTTGTCAAACATGAGCTGATGTTCATATGCACCCGCATGATCAGTGGCTCGAAGTGGTGAAAAAGAGCGTCACCGCTTTTTGTGACTTTTCCAAGCTTAAAACAATCGCTCCAGAACCAGAAACAAAACCCAACTGTTCCGATACTGGAAGCCCACAACTCCAGCTTTGCACAATAACACAATTCCTGAGTAAAATAGCCCGTGTTGCTCCAAGGTCTGATGAGTAAGATCACGGTCCTAAATTTGGCTGTGTTTTGGCAACTGAAATTACACCACCGTAGACCCCAAACAGTTTGTGTTTTTCAAAATCGGAACACTCTGCAACTAGAGCTTGCGACGTCCAGAGCTGGGAGACAAAGGATTGCAAGGCAGAGGCGGCCACAGCAGGGAGAAAAATGCAAAGGATTGCAAGCGCATGCAGCCCAGAGCTGGGTGACAAATAAAGGATTGCCAGGCAGAGGCGGATACAGCAGTCTAGAGCACATGTAAAGGATTGCAAGGCAGAGGCGGACACAGCAGCCCAGGATTGCAAGGCAGAGGCGGACACAGCAGCCCAGAGCTGGGAGACAAATGTAAAGGCAGAGGCGGACACAGCAGTCCAGAGCTGGGAGACAAATGTAAAGGATTGCAGGGCAGAGCAGCTGGGAGACAAATGTGAAGGGTGCAAGCGAGAGGGGGAGAGAGGAGGCACATGTAAAGGAAAGAAGGAAGACAAGGCGGACACAATGACCAACAAGAAGGAGGACAACAAGGGAGACAAGAAGGGAGACAAAAGGCAACAGAAGGGAGACAAGACGGACACAATGACCCACAAGAAGGGAGACAAAACCGGAGACAAAGAAAGAATGAAGGGAGACAAGGCGGACACAGTGACCAACAAGAAGGGAGACAAGAAGGGAGACAAAAGGAAACAGAAAGGAGACAAGGCGGACACAGTGACCAACAAGAAGGGGGACACAGTGAGCAACAAGAAGGGAGACCAAGAGAGACAAGCCGGACAGCAAGGTGGACACTCTTAGAAGGCATTTAGAACCCCTAACAGTAACTTGTTTGGGGAAGTACAGAAACCACATGGGAACTTGAGAGAGGAGGGGGTGAACGAAAGGTAGCAAGGAGAACTCAGGTAGCTCAAGCTACCTTTCGTGATATCGGATGATGGATGATTTCAAGAGTTCTGATGTTTCCAATTACCATCCAATACCGGATCTATCCGAGCTGGAGGGAGAAAAGACAAAAAAGACTCCGATCAGGTCAGCAGGGGGGCCGCTCTCACTCGGAAGCCCAGCTGAAGCACCCTGTCCTGACCCGGCGTGAACTCGCGCTTGGTTCGAAGCCCCACTCGCATGGCGGATCCGTCAGGATCTCTACCAGGAGTCACAAAGGGGTGCCGAACTTGGAGGTTAGGGGTGCCCAGCTACTCCACTCACTTAGGAACCAAACACCACCCCTTTGTGACCCCTGGTAGATTTCCATCTGTGGAAAGATGTGAGACCTCTGTGGAACTTGTCCTCTTTAGATCGGATGCTTGAGACCCAAACCAGCATCCATCACTGGACCCAAGCCTGGTGTGGTCAATGTTTCTAGAAACGCGCCACCACACGCACCTCAGTTAGTGTGATATCCCCCCTGTTTTCGCCGTGGCTCCACACCATCTCCGGCCCCCCCTTGAAAAAAAGTAAAACGCCTGGATCATCATCACGGCAGAACACGACCTTCCGACGCCACCCGAAACCGTTGTCTCCCGTCGCTTAGCAGCCCCCCGGAACGCCGGCATCGGTGAAACACCGTCGTCCGATCCCTTCCGCTCCGGCCGCCCAGGTGCTTGTCTTCGATGACCACGCCCGACACGCCCAGACGTTCCAGCTTCCGCACCGTAAAGGCAAAGATCTGCCGCGAGGCGACCATCGTCATGGCGAGGCGAGAAAACCGCCACGTGGGGTGAACGGAGCAGGTTGTAAGGGATCTTCGGTTTGGGAAGGTCGGGTTTGGCTCCTGATCCCATCCTGTTTTTGTTTCAGGGTGTCAAGAGAGGAATGAAGACTCGAAGAAGGGGCGAAGAGCTTTTTGGATCTGACATATATTGTGAGACTCCAAAAGTCTGCAGATTGTTGTCCTTTCTCCTACCAAAAGTGGTTTTGAGGTCAGGCTTCACCATGTTCCGCTGCGGAGATGTGTTTTGGGCGAAATCTCACTGGCCAACGCAACACCATGCAAAGCCAAGAAGGATTTCGTCGATCCACCTTGAAACACAGTGTAAACCACATTAAACCACTCCACAAACAGAACAGCCTTTGAACTCGATTAGCCCCGCTGCCCCCCACACCATCACATGGCAGCCGAAGTGAACTCAAAAGCCAAACACATATGAGTTGTCAAAACCAAACAATTATCTCCACTGTTTGACGTGCCAATCAACAAGCAATTGCACTGTCTTCTTGTGTTGTTTTAGGACCATGGCCCTCCCTCCAACAAACATGGGAGTGGACACCACCGTAGTACGTAGAGTGAAACCATCTTCCAAGGGGCCAGGGCATCCTCATCCATGAGGATATTCGAGAGAGGGTACACTCCCACTACCATGAACTGTATATGACCATCGAAAACCACCTGGAACCCTGTGCGAAATCGTCTTCATCCCTCTTTCCCACGACTCGCCCTCTGCCCTGTGTGACTCTTCCGCCCAGGGTTTCGGGCCTCCTTCGGCCCGCCAGTGTCACCGTCGTACAACACGGGCTTAGTGGAGACCTGCAGCGCCCCGGGTGACGGTTCAGTCTGAAAGCGCTGCGGTGCGATCCCGAGGTGCATCTCAGAGTTCTCCATCTTGGTCTTTCCAGTTGAAGCAAGTGCTCTTTGTTGCGGAGTCAGGGCAATGGCGGGATTTGATCACTCTCAGAAAACACTTGGTTCTTCAGGAACTCTTGACTCTTGGCTGCTCAAAACTGCACGAAAGTCAGTGCTTTTCTAATCCACTTGTTGTGGGGCTCTGTAGTAGAACTCAGACCGACCAATTCCCACGCAGCCTAGGACCATAAATCGTACGGCCCAGCACCACTGCACGCTTGGGGTATTTTGCACGTGTGCATTTTCATCTGTCAGCGGTCTGTATGAGAGAAAAGATCTGCAGCGTTCCCCACCCAGCCAAGCTGTGGCTTTTCGTTTTTTTCTGAGTTGACTCGCATGATGCCTGAAGAAGCTGACCACCCAACAATTAAAGCAGGAAGAACATGGTCGAGCAATTCGTCCAGCCCTGCGAGGACTAGCTCGCATTCCGCTTGTTCCCATCCCCTCATGTTCCCATCAGCTTGAACCAACAAACCGCCCGCGGTCCGCCGCGATGAAGACGAACACCGGGCGCCTCTAAAACGTCGTCCACAATCTGCATGCGTTCCGAGGTGGTCACCGTCTCGATGTCGGGCTTTCCTTTCGAACGGACCGTTGGGTGTCGGTGGAAGGTCGAAAGGGAAAGCACCAGATCCTCCGGGAAAAAAAGACCATCTACTAGTCTTAGTATCTAAGTGCATCGCTACTAGTGGCTTCTTGTTACTATAGTAATGCCCTTGTTACTAGCGATGCACTTCCTAATTAAAAGAAATAACACTGACACACTCATGTGTCGTGCCTTCTTCGGATCAACACTACTGGCAACCAGTCAACCGGTGTGGGGTAACTTGGATATCTACACATTGCACTTTGCATGGTATGAACTTCTTGTCTTGGCGTATCGCATATGCTCAACGAGGATGGTGGGATTCTGACTCCTGGGGGGCCAGATCTGTCCAACCGCCGCCGCATCCCTTCTTCGGCTCAACAAATGTGCACTTCCAAAGGTCTGGGGCGTCGCAATGCTGCCGTTAAAAGTTCCGAAAACGACAAGTCTCGAGTCTTCTACCCCATCAAAGAAGACCTTCGGGTCGCTCCCTTCGCTGGCGGATTCTCACGAAAAAGCCTGGTGGATACGGAAATCCGGTGATTTGGGACTTTGGGACTTCGAAAAATCTCTGGACTTCTTTAGCGCCCAGCCCAATCTCTGAGCTTCTCCATCTGGGACTTCTTTGGGATCCAATTTTTTTGACGCCCAAAGGGACCAATGATGGCTTTTTGAGCTCAATTTCTCTGGACTTCTCCCATCTCTGAACTTCTTTGGGAACAAGTTGCACCCTCCTCCCACTCCTCCACACCCTGGTCCGCACGCGGTCGCATGGATTCGTTGGCCGCCTTTGATGGCACTGGAGGTCAATGAAGAAGACCATAAGCAGTCGAAAGTCACCTGTGGCGCTGGAGTTGTCCACGCCACGCACGCCATTTCCACGCCACGCGCGCGCCAGCCGTGCACACGGCACTTTGCACATCAAAAACGCCTCAAATTGGGACGGCGCCAAGTTCTTGCGAATCACACTCCGACGAACAGAGAAACCATGGAAGTGGATGGCATAAAGCTGTTTGGTCTTCGGACAATCGTCAATCTTGCGGGTCCATGCCATGCACTTCGTGATGAGCTTCGGGTAATTCTTACAAGGCCCAGCGGCCGGGTTCCCAAAGGAGTTTGTATGTTCATAGGGAAACTCCCGTGCCCAACGGGCGTTTGGTCTATTCCCCCTTTTTCCAGGGGGCCGAACTGGTAGATGTTTAAGTTTACACAGCCAAAGGTACCCCTGGGAAGGTTCCCTTCCACTCCCTTCAATCTACGCCCTCGCTGCTCGCGGCGTTCCTTCATCCTCACCTGCTCCCCGCGCCGTTGGGCGACCGCCGCATCGACCACCAAGGCTGAGAAACCACTGTGGACCTGAAACGTCGTTCCACTCGGAAGACGGCGAAGAGACTCAGACCGTGTGGCGAAGAGACGAGACTCACCGCGTGTTTGCGGGTTTTGGGTTCTGCAGGGAACGTTCACTTCAGATCAAGAAAGAGGTGTGTAACGGCTTGGATGGAAACCACGGCGGAGGATGTAGCTTGATCAACCGATCAACAAATCCCTTGATCGTGAAAGGAAATGAACGTCAGAACATCGGAAAGCGGAGTTCCTCGCGACTCAGGACTCCGTAAGGACCAAGTGTCTTCCCTCTCACAAGGTCTTACAATGTTGAAGTCACCTGCTGGACCAGGCATAAGGAGAGAAAGTTGAGGAGAAAAAAAGAAAATGGTAATGGCATCTTTCCAGTTGGCTCGAAGAAGCTAAACAGCTGGGAAAATCCATGGTATGCGTGTCATTTCGAGCTGTGGCAAGACCTGTGATCATGAAATCTCCCGCTGTTCCACTTCACTCGCCTCAATAGCCCTCACGATAGGCTTCTCCTGGCTCCATGGTGCAAATTAGCCCGGAAAGGGAGGCATTGATGAGATGAGAGCCAATGTAATGATTCAGGATTGCTTGCTTTGGAAACCACTGTGAATGTGTATCCCGAAGACATGTGTCGCTGCAGTTCATGGGCAGTCGTACGATGGGCACCGATGTTGGAAGACCCAGGAGGGATGAATTTCGACCATCTTGAGACTCCATCCCATCTCCAAATCCCCTTTGAAGGTCGAAGAGGTGTTTCTTGCAGCACCTGGTGATGTTTCAAGCTGGCTTGGCTGCTTGGCCAGTCCAAACCCTCATAATTGTGTTGCAGACCTTCAGTGTAGCAGCTGCTTTAGTATATATAAGAACATTGACATGGGAATCGAAATCACATCGGAACCTGAAAACTTCGGAGTGGATGGCACCACCTCAAAAACCTTGTTCGGATTTCATGGTGCAAGAGACCTTGCCATGCACGTAACCATGATTCCAGGGAGTGTTTGCCCATCACTGGCCCACCAACGGCCACGAAGGTCGGCTGCCTGGATGAGGCGTTTCAAGGTCGGCAGCCGGGACCCTGCCGTGCTGGCGCCTCGCGCGCGGTTCTGCGCCTGCGAGTTGTGACATTCGTTCAGTTCCAGGTTCGGAGGTTGGGCGGATGGGCCGAAAGGAAGAAGAAGGTCAGGAGATCTTCCGGGCCTTTTCCAGGTGAGTTCGACTGACGTGGCTGGGGAGGCCTTCCGAGTCTTCCGGTCGCACCGAGCCCGCGGCACTCGGTCGCCTGCGCATCGCTTCCGCGGCTCGGGTGCGCCGAACTCCGCTTCGTTGGAAACCCACGCGGCACCGGGCCTGCAAGGGTCTCAATGGGCACATTCTCTCCTCATCGGCATTCGACTCCCAAGGCACGTGGCAAGCTCACAGGGTCCATCAGGGTCCGATAGCCTACGAATGAGTCTAGAGGACAAGAATGTCACCAGCTTGGGAAGGAATTGGACTCCAAGAAACTCGGTAGCATGACTACTCTCCGGGCCACAAAAAAGTTGTTGTTTTAAACCGTCCAAGTCACAAGGTGAAGCAACCTCCATCCAGGGACTTCAGAAGAGACACTAGTTGACCTAACCATCATTAACCATCGCCATCTGAAAGCGGCACATTGTCGCTTTGAGGTACGGTGTTGTAAGGTATTGTTCTTCCCCCTGCCTATCTACAAATCTAAAATCTGAGCTCCCCTGAACTCCAGGATTCCTAGCCAGTCGACGGAACATGAAGGCTTTGGGAACGTGTCATCCAAACCTGTCTGTCCAAGACCCACCGCGGTGGCTCCACTCAGAAGTCGCGACGGAGCGACGGATCCAGTGGTCCGAACCCCAAGGGATGCGAAGCTCCGATGGAAAGGAACCCATCAGTGAGTGACTCTCTGAAGAGCGTGAAAAAAACAAAGAACGTTCTTATATGTATAGTCATTCTCCAATTGGACGTCACAAGTTACAAGTGTTCCAACATGTGTTCCAATGTAGCATCCCAAAACAAAGAAAAAAGCTTACCATATATATATATATATATGTGCATTTTCTAAGGCAGAACAGACAATAAACAACACCATTTGCATATGCATAACACATTGTCGACGCCCGACCCAACCGTCGCACGGGCCCTGTTGCGCCAAGAAACCCAGGCGACGCCTGGCGATGGACGTCGCAGATCGTTTCAGTGGGACGGTTCCATCGTTCCGTGGCGAAGTGCAGCTGGCTTCGCTTAGGCCAGCTGCCACGCTTCTTAAGCAGCAGCAGTTTCAGCGAACCAGGGCCAAACTTCTGAATTTCGTGAAAGGAAAGCGGAACTCTACTAGGGGCTCCTGGCCTTACTACTAGGAGCAAGGATGCTACTAGGGGCTCCTGGCCTTACTACTAGGAGCAAGAAGCTACTGGGGGGCTCCTGGCCATACTACTAGTAACAAGAACCTACTAGGGGCTCCTGGCCATACTACTAGGAACAAGAAGCTACTAGGGGCTCCTGGCCTTACTACTAGAAGCAAGAAGCTACTAGGGACTCCTGGCCTCAGTACTAGGAGCAAGGAGCTCTAGGCCATACTACTAGTAACAAGAAGCTACTAGGGGCTCCTGGCCATAGCCACAGCTGAGCGCAAAGCGAATCAACGATGCTCGATGCGACTGT